GGGGGGGGGGGGGGGGGGGGATGAAAGAGGATAGAGAGAAAGGAATAAAATCCCCCTCGCGAAGTGCGCTACGGGTACGCGATCAGCGAATTGATGAAACTAATTATACGTCTCTATCCGGAGGGAGGGTAAGAGCTTATTTCTGACTACGCGCGATCCGCGCGGAGATTGGCGATTCAGCGAAATTTGTGATTGATTACTGTTCCCTCGCGCGCGCGCGCGTCCTTCTTTCCGCCATCAATGAACTCCGCCCGCTCGTCGTAACTTAATGAAAATTACGTGGCGTTCGTAAGCAAAGTTCTCGCACAATCAGCGTAAAAGCGCGAGACGGCGCGTTATCAGAAAGTGCAATAACAATTCGCGTCGGAAAACCGATGATGCTTAAATTCACGAGACAGAATAAGTTAAGTGACGCTCGCGACGCTTTTCCGAATAGATCGACAGGTTGAAATCAGCAGTCCGATATGCACCGCAAATATCGACGCGGTCGCGTCGATAATTAACGAAAAAGTAAGTGCACGCACGCACCGAGAGAGAATTATATTTCAGTTATTTTCGGTGTCAACAATGGCCGAGTCGAAATTTTAAATTCTACGTTAAGTCTTCGAGCGGAGAAAACGGAGAAAAGTTCCCACTTGTAGCATCGAAGGAGCACAATAAATACGCCTTTAATGCTGCAAGGGGAATTTAGTCCTCGAGGGCTTAAATTTTAGTTGTACATTAAATCTTCAAGTGGGGAAAACAGCAATAACTTTCCAATTTGTATCACCAAAGGAGCACAATGGAAGACTTTTGAACATTTAATGTAGAAATAAATTAGACTTAAAGGACTAAGGTTTCGACCCGGATATCCCTTTAAGTATCCTTTTGTTATTTTAAACTTAAAAGTAATAGCAACAATATGCACGTAAGATTATTATCACTGACATTGTAGTAACAGTTACTTAAAAAAATGGACTCTTTTTCTCTTTCGACTATTTTTCTCTCGGCTATTTCTAAGTTTTTTTAATTATTTTTGTGGTTGAAATGACAAAATGATATTGTTAGCACCAAAAGTAACTGTACTCTTTTCTCTCAATGCAGGGTTTGCCTGTGTTATTCCCGTGCAATCGGTCTGTTCTTTTTAGCTGCACAAACATAAAAAAATTTACGCACGCTGAAGCATGAGAATCTCGTACGTACACTTCATACGCTCCGATGTGTATGCACATTTCTTGAACCAACTAGTTAAGCTAAGAAGAACAGGCGAAAAAGTCAGAGAAAAAGGAGACAGTTAACCTTTCCTGTATGTTATTTAAAAAGATCAGGTGCGATTGAACGTTCCTATTTCCCGTCGTATGCCGGGGATATAATACATCCCTGGTAATGTCAGGTAAGAAGAGAGAAAGAGGAGGGTTTTCTCACGCCAGAAGATCCCACCTTGAAGGAGTCGTGACTTACCGATAGATTGCTTCCAAGTCACAGTCGGAATGGGGAATCCTTCGGCCTGACAGGCGATGGAGACGCCGTGACCTACAACCGCGTTCTGGTCGATAGGTTCCACGGTCCACCTCGGAGGTACTAAAAATACGAACCGATTGGCTTAAAATCTTCCAGTCGCGCGAATTCGTATCCGCCAGAATCTTACTCGACGCCTCCTCGTTTTCCGTCGTCGCTCGTCCCGTTTCTCGGCATTTCTCGGAACGACGGGCCTTCGGAATTACACCATCGGCTGGTACGCTCCTCTACGTCAGTATCGAAGACACACCGCCGTTAAATCAGTATCGACCATCGACGGTATTTGCGTGTCGCACGATTGCGATTGTGCGCGTGCGAATTTCCCGAGAATTCGAAATTTAACGGCGCAATGTACAATAATGAACTTGAAGGATTGTCAATACGAATGTGCGCAAACTCCGCATTAATGCCGGATTTATCGCGAATTTCTTTCAATTTCATTCGAAATATCGGGGACAATATTCGCTTGACCCCTCAAACATCGCAATTTTGCCTTATTTCGCGCGGACGATATTTCATGTAAAACCGTCGAGCGATATCGATTTTCATTTCATGGCCGTGATTTTATCTTTTATCTCTGTCTCTGCTCTAAAAATGCAATGATATGACAGGTTATTTACTTGAACAGTCATACGCTGCACGTACGCTGACCAGAAATCCGATCAATAGTTTACTACGGTTCGAGCGACAACGGATACCAGCGGCGATAGCTAAATCGATGTTTCTCTCTCTAGTGTATCGATAATTGTACGTAACGCATGCACTTTTTTTTCTTTCTCAGCTACGAATGGGCTGTATATATATATGTATACTTACGCGATTACGCTGAAAAATTGCAACAATTGTTATATGTATGTTAACGCTACGAAACTCATGAACGCTACGGCTAAATTACTTGAATTGACGATGTCATGTATATGTATAAATATATATATATATATGGAAAACAAACGAGAGAACGGATTTTTCCGCATGTGTGTACTCAACTACACCCGTTGATTTCATCAATACTCCGGGCATTGTTGAATGTTCAAGGTAATACAATAATCCGACCAGGATGTCAGGAACAAAAGAATAACCGTGCACACTTTTATCTCTTTTCACAGTGACAGTGAGAAATCATTCGAGTTACCGTAAAGAAACGTAAACGTAAATGATGAATAGAATATAATACGAGAAGGGAAAAGAAAATACATGTGAAAGGAGGAGAGAAAACGTATGCCAACTGAAGAGTCATCCGTTCAGTAAGTGTGAGTATGGTCGGTACCAAACTGTAAATATGTCGAAAAAGAGTATAATACACATAACAGTACGGATATGGAACGTAATGTCATGCAAAAATGCAAGAATATCATTATCATAAGGAACGTAACAACGCAAGCAAGCATTCCAAGTAAATAGAAAGAGAAAGAGAGAGAGAGAGAGAAAGAGAGAGAGAGAGAGAGAGCCGTGTAAAATCGATGTAATAGAGAATGCTTTCCAGACAACGGACAACGACGCAAACGATACCGTGACATCGTACCGTAATACAAAAAATAGATAGAGACACGTAGTATAATAATGAGGTGTGTATCACTTTTACATTCTTCCATCGTCATTCCAAGTCGCTCTCGTAAAAAAGGGAGGGGGGGACTGTAACCAGAGAAACGTTAACTACGCGAATGCATGCTTCACACCCGTCATAGACAATCCGTAGCATTTGCATTAGCACAACGTCTCGAATCAATATCAACACGCTACGATACTCTACCTAGTAACATTCGCGCGAAATGCCCTCACAAAAAATCTGAACACGTGAGATATACTTCTACGCTCAACTCTGGAATCTCAATTTCGAGGTCTACGTCAACAATTTCAGCGATGCTGCTCGCTAGCGGCGGAAACGTGTACGAGAAGGGCACGACAAGAGTCAATGCGTCTTTATGGGCCTTACCGGCACACGTTCGTCGGATCAACGATTCTGGAATCGGCTCGTGCGAATCGGCTGAACAACTTCGTTTATCCGAGAGCTTATCGTTATCTCCCTCGTGAAAATTCGCCAAAAATCAGAATCTCGTCGCCTGACCGAGTGACAAATCGAACGATCTTCCAAAAAGGGAAACGAAAACGAATCCAAAAGTAAACAGAAATAATGGAAACTGACGATACATGCATGTTAGAAGTAAAGTCGGCGATACATCTCTCGTGTGCATCCGATTCCGTGTCATCTCTCGAAGCGTCTTGCGCTCCCCGTATGCGTGCCACGCACTTCCTCGCACTTTACAACGGCAAATGAACGTTCTATCGAGCAAGTGATCCCTCCGGGGATGAACGAAATAAATCGGGATATGGCGGCACCGTGCCAGGTATTGCCCTCGATATAGCGCGACACGGCAATTTTGATGATCGAACTTACCGGCCATTTTTCGCCCTTCCGACGCGTTCACGTGCTAAAAATATTCCAACGGTTAATGAGGACCGTTAATGGGTGCTTTCGCCGAATTGCTTCCTCCGGAATTCGATACGCGAGCGGACCAAGTGGTACGCTCGAGCTTAAGTAGTAACAGACGAACGTGGTACGGCCAAGCGCGCGCACGAGCGGCCAGCTGGTGCAACGTGGGAGTGGGGGCAAGGCCGCGTTCCAATGTAACGCGTTGCATAACGCAGTTGAAATACGACCAGCAGGTGGCCGTTGATTCTGCTTCAACGCCGAACTGATCGAAAACGTGGCGCGATATAAACGTCGATATCTTATCGCATCTAAGGAGTCTCGACTACTCGAAACGAAATGTCGGAAATATGATTGTGACTTCTACGTTCTTCTTATAGACGTAAAATCGTTCATCGATTATTATTTTAATCAATGATACTTCGATGATGGATTATTGATTAAAATTAAATTATCACAGTAGCAAACTTTCCAGAGAAAACTTTCCAGAGATTCGAAAATACGGGAAAATAAATTTATAACGATATTTAAAAGACTTCGGCTAAGAGTAGTTAATATTAGACGTTAATGATTCAATCGAAACATGATTTATGAAAGAGAAGGGAATATTAATGGGAGCTTATTTCTGGTTTCCCTCTGGGAAATAATTTGCTTTTTTTGGAAATTATGCAGAACGCACGATTCAAAAATAAACTCTGCGTAAATTGATAACGTTCAACACGCCCCGAAATAATCGATCGCTCCACGGCACGTGTAATCGTGCGAAAACTTTCACTCGCGAGAATAAGAAAGCAGTATATGCCCAAAAATGATTTGTTTGATGACCCGGATCGGACTTTTTTCACTCGCTTCTTCCACAAGTCCCGCGAACTATTTACGTCTTCATATATAAATCTAAAATACGTTATATAAATAATACCAACAGCATCGATCGCTGACATTGATAACGCGTCCAGTTACAAAAAGTGGAAGCAGACACACAAGTGGTACTCCCGAGCATAAACGGTATACGACGTACCACACAGTGGCGGCTAAAAGCAGCACAAACGCGAAAAATATCGGTACATATAATATCGCATTGAAATGCAGAATAGCCGCGTACTGATCGTAAGCCGTAAGGAGGGAGAAGAGAGTGCAGTGCTACATCCGGTGCTCCATTTCATGATGAATACAAAGCGAAGTTGAAAGCGCATTACCTTCCATTTGGCGGACGAGGCAAAATATCGCGGAAGTTTTTTTACGAACGCCCCCGTAATGTAACTGCGCTACATTTCCAAGAACGGTGCATAAGCGTGATGGCCGGAGAAAAATTCAATTGTCCTCTGTTTTGTATAAATTAACGAAAGATATAGCCGCCTCTTTGCAAGGGATCGCGATGTTTCACGGTCTTACACGGTCGTGCCGTTCATTATTTCATTCTCAAGTTTATGAAAAAGGTACGATAACCGCAGCGTCAAATTAAGCCATTAAATTTCAACATTGAATTTCGCTTCATCGTTTAACGGGTGTAAAGCAATATCCAATTACCGATCTTATTATTCGCTCCTTTGATGTTTCTTCTTGAAAAACTGCCGCTTTATGCATTCGTCTTCCAATTTCTTACGCGCACATAGTCCTCCCATCGCCCACTTTGCGGGAGGTTAAGGGATCGTATCCCGCTTTGAGAAAATTCCTTTGCCGCGCGCGCGCGCGACGGTTGCGCTGGAAAATCTTTAATGGCTTTCAGATGTCGAAAGCCTAGCGATCATGTCGTATTTTATACGCATTAGAAGCCGCTATTACCGAGCGAGTACGCTCGAGTCGAAGTTTTGATTCTACATTAATCTCGCAAATGCCATCAAAGGATCAATAGAGATTCGCGGAATATAACGCTGGCTATATAGAGGCTTTCCTATAAATAGTTACATACTGCTGTTTTCCTCATGTTGAGGCTAAAAGGGACAATTATTAACTAAAATTACTTAATATGCGATTATTTCAATATCTCTCCTGCATTCCAATATTTACTTTTAATTTCAATTAGCAACGCATTACTCATGAAAAGCATTCATCTACAGATAAAATACGTGCAATAAGCAAATATTAATATAGATAAATAATTATTAATATGGATTAACGCAGATAAGTAAAATAAACGTTATGTTTTAATCTCTTTGTGATTATTTTTTTATTATCGTTGAAAATTTCGATGGAATTTTTCCATATTCAAAAAAAACAATGAGGACGAGAGAGAATTGTAAGGCCAAAAATAGCAGTTGTATAAATATCAACAATAATTTAACTAAATATAATATCGTATAATATTAACTAAGTATAATATTGTATATAATAATTTAATTAAGTATAATATAATGCTAAAATGAAATTAAAGAAAAGGATATGTTCAATGTAAATAGAAAATGATAAAGAAATGATGAGAGAAGGAGACTTGTTATTTTATTTACCTACTTACCTAGTAACTTTTATCAAATTATTTATTATTTACATATCATAACGTTCTATTTACAATTGATTAAACGACGTAATTAATATCTAGCTTTTTGAAATTAATTTAAAAAATTAAATAATTCTTAAATAAATACTTCTTTGGGCCTTAGTAAAACAGCAGCAAGTAACTATTTACATATCAAAAGGC